TATATATTTTTTTTTTTTTAAAATATATAAAATAGATATGCTTCTAAGTGCCATTCCTGTCTGATTTGCAAGCCTGTAAGCTGTATGTGTCATTCTGATCCCATCACAGGAAACAGAAGGGTACTCCGGCTCAGACATTAAACTCGTGTGCAAGGAAGCAGCTATGAGACCAGTGAGGAAAATTTTTGATGCTCTTGAAAATCATCAGCCAGGTACCACAGCTCAAAGTAGAGAATCCCATCTGGGAAATGCTGACCTACTGCTGTAACTCTAGATATTACAATTTTAACCCCAGCAGGTGGAGCTCTGTTATCTCCTTAGGAAAATTTTAAACTCTGTGTTTCTAAAACATCTACCTAAGCTAACATTTCTGAAAATTAGACCTTTCTTTAAAGCTGTCACCACCGGCGCTCTGTGCACAAACATGACTTTTTCTTCTATCGCACTAGGTTCATTCTTTTGTTTTCATATACGAAGCGTTGCATTAGGCAGGAGCATAACAGAATATCTTTTGGTAATAACAACAGTATTTAATAATTCTTTTCTCTTTAGGTAACAGTAACTTATCTGTGATCCGATTAGATACAATCACAACCACAGATTTCCTGGATGTGATTGCCCACACCAAGCCATCAGCAAAGAATCTAAGCCAGAAGTACACAGCTTGGCAGAGAGAATTTGAGTCAGTTTGAAAAGGAACACCTCAAAAGATTGAAAACTTCCAAGAATTTTTCATCCAGAATGGCATCGCCTTGCCTCCAAAGGATTGAACACTGATGGGGAAGGAAGTGCTGTTGTTTCCAGGAAAGAGAATGCAGTGACAAATGTCAGGGGGAATTTTCACTTTCAGAATTTTTTATTAGCTGTTTTCAATGACCACTCCAAAAAATATTCTGCATGGAAATAATGTGATGGTAGTTGCTATGTAATGAAGACTCCAACCTTAATTTTATGTATAAAGACTTAAAAGGTTGCTGCCTTCTCAGTCTTTATTCGTGACAGTTGTTTACTGATTTGGAGTAGAACTGGAGCAGAAAGCTCGTTAAGAACAGTTAGATGATTAGTGTAATTCTCCTTTTCTGAGACTTACTGAAGCATCACAATCAGCATAGCTTTACCAGAATGATCTGCACCCCTTTTAATGAAACCTAAGTGACCGCTTTCAGTGAAATTCCAGACCTTAGCAGCACCTTGCAATGTGGTTTGTCATCATTTTCAGCCAAGATCAAAGCCTTGACATGCCAAACGTATTGCTTTCCAATTGGTCTGGGTTATTTCCAAGGTGGAAAAGGCAAGGAATTAGAGGAAGTTGGAGACATTGTAGAAAATCTGCAGATTGAGGCTAATCTAACTAGAAATTGTATTGCTAGTTACCCACTGGTTTGCAAACAGCCATAAAATGCAAACAGCAAGTCTTTGCAGTGCAGTGGTAAATACTAGCCAAGTTGGAGACTTTTCTGCTTACAAACATGGCCAGGTCACCAGTCAGGACTGCCGCGTATCTTTTAATGCGAAATTCTAATAAGTTATTTTTTCATTACTGCCCCTCTCTTCCCCTCCCTCTTGCTTGACAAGACAGTTATCCTCTTTGCAGTTCTCCCACTGTTTCCCTTGTGTGGGCATGTGTACAGCTGCTTTTCTATGTACAATAGCCTTGCACGCTTTCCAGCACACTCAGGGAAAAAGTTTCTTTTTGTTCTGGCGTAACTCACATTGTCAGAAGTCTTTATGGGTGACGTCTTCACAGGATTTTACTTCTAGATCTCTTGCCTCCTGCACCTGACTCTGGCCAAAGACCTCCCTGGCGTACTCCAAGCAAGTTCAGAATCATTGGCATGAACACGATGTGTGAATTTATTCAGAACTGTAGGGTACAATTTATGAGAGCACACAAACAGTATCTAACAACGGCTTCTGTACCTGGGGGGGGTTATTGTTTCTTGTATTTCTACTGCAAAGTCTGCTCTGTTCACACATTCTGTCTCAGACAGAGATTAAATCTGAACGTAGGTAACCACCCACCAAGTGAGACTGCAGAGAGACAATTTTGTCACGTAAAGAGTTTCCCATTCATTCATCACGATGATTTTTCTTAACAAGAACAAGGATGGCTCATTAACACAAAACTATATTTTCAATAAGGTTAATACTCCAGCAATGTATAATTACAATCCAGTAATTTAACACTCAAGAGCACTGTAAAACAACTGTAAAGGACTTTGTTTATTACAGTTTGCAAATGGACCAGAAAAGCTATTTACCATCATTACAAAGTTGGTTCATATTGGGGGATTTAGCGCATAGGAAAAGCACCGCATACTACAGAATTAAATTTCATTTTACAGCTCTGCTAACCAACTGTGTAAAAACTGGAATCTGTCCCCATGGCTTGTAAAGGATTTTTTTTCCATAACATTAAAAAGAAACAAAAAAACCCCCAATCATAGTGAAATTTTGCAACTGTAGCATTAATAGGACCCTGCTGAGGTCTAATTTCAAAAATTCAGTCTCGAAAGCATTTAACACCAGATTTTTGTTTCTGTACCATTCTTTTTAATAACAGCATCTAATTAAAACATCTGTAAAATGCTGACAGTTTTAATTTTATGTAGAATTTGAAAAACAAAAGTCAGGATCTGTTCTAATGAGAGGAAAGATATCAACAGTAGTTATTATTAAACTGGTGATATTTTAATTTAAAAGTCACTTCTAAATGTGCCTAATCTCTACCTTTAAATTAGAGCAGAGCAGAGACATACTCAGTGAATCACTACAGGCTGACTAAGGCTCTGTTAGTCTTCGATGTTTATTTACTTGAGCATTTCCAGTGGTTTTTTTTTTTTCAGTTTAGCTTATTCAGCAGAAGAACATGACACTTTCCAGACAGGGCTTTTCATCAGTTATTTCTTGAAAACTGAAAATAAACAGAACTCTTCCCTGTGGCATTTGGGAAAGCAGGTGTGTTGGTTGTAGCAGTTCTGTCTCACCTGCTGGGTATTCATTTGCAGTCCCTCATCACATCCCCATGGAACTACTACAGGAAAGGGGCTGTGCCTGGGCTCACACCAATCCTCTGCCCTTTCACAACTCGAGTGGAAGGAGCTCACGGCTAGGTTTATAATGCAATGCATGCATTGATCCTGTGAATTTAATTTTTGAAGCAAGAGTAAAGGAAATTACATGAAACAGATGTTTCTTCAAACTAACTATTCCCTTTCTCATAGCAGACGCTCTAGGATATGTTCCACTGCCTCTGGGAAATTCTCACAGGTTAAGTAAGGAGCCGGATTGATTTTGTCTTCATCTGCTGGTCGGTATTTACCTGTAACACATTAACAAAAAGATACCCAAATGAGCTCAGTAAATGTATCTTTTTTTTCCCCCATGAACATTACAGCCACCTCAGATCATTAACAACCACACACAGTAGGAGGAATGCCCACCTGAGGTTCTTCTGCAACAAACACTTCCCTGAACAAACTTTACTGAAGATTCTGCCCCTCTGCTCCACTCTTGTGAGACCCTCCCTGCAGTACTGCGTCCAGCTCTGGGGGCACCAGGACAAGAAAGACATGGAGCTGTTGGAGCGAGTCCAGAGGAGGCCACAGAGATGATGCGAGGGCTGGAGCACCTCTGCTATGAGGACAGGCTGAGAGAGTTGGGGTTGTTCAGCCTGGAGAAGAGAAGGCTCCAGGGAGACCTGATAGCACCTTCCAGTCCCTGCAGGGGCTCCAGGAAAGCTGGAGAGGGACCGGTGACAAGGGCAGGGAGTGACATGACAAGGAGGAATGGCCTGAAGCTGCAGGAGGGGAGATGGAGATGAGATGTGAGGCAGAAGTTCTTCCCTATGAGGGTGGTGAGGCCCTGGCACAGGTTGCCCAGAGAGGTTGTGGAGGCCCCATCCCTGGCACTGTTGAAGGCCAGGTTGGATGGGGCTTTGGGCAACCTGGGCTAGTGGAGGGTGTCCCTGCCCATGGCAGGGGGGTGGAACTAGATGGGCTTTGAGGTCCCTTCCCACCCAAACCATTCTGTGATTCCATGATTCCTCCAGGGGCAGCTCTGGCTCAACATTAGTGTTACTGATGCACTGTTTTCACTCTGCTGCACTGGCACTGTTCTTTCACTGACTGTTCAGGTGATCACATTGTGGGTTCTTGAAATCATAATGTTAGCATCTTCTGGCTTTTGTGAGGAAGAGTAGGATTGTTTGCTGACATTTTTGACATAATGGACTGGGTGAGCTGCCACCTCAGAAAGACCTTTCCCAGTCTATGGTACCATCAATAACATTGATAATACTTGTCAGACCCTTAAGGTTCCACTGAAGCAAAATTACTTTTATAATTACCAGCGTAATTATTAAGGAATGGCATCAGAGTTTCTGAATTATCAGAGATTATATTGAGATTGCTGATTTTGGCAATCTCAGATGTCACAGTAACAGTTCTCTCTGTTTTTTGGTTAGCGCTCGGGATTTTACAGTCATTAGAACAAGAAATCCACACCTACAACATCACCCGCCCCCATCTATTACTTCCTATCATCCTGCTATCAGTTCAGGGTCTGTGCTCTAGCCCTGTCACTGAAACATTAAATATAAAGGCCTATCCTGACTTAATTGCAATCTACTGCTTGCTAGGCTGCCATGCTGCAGCTGGGGGACATTTATCTGCTGACTTCACCCCAAAATTAATGAGATGATGCACCCGGGGTGTCCCAGCAGCCAGAGAGAATGGTGAGAGAACAAACCAGGAATGTCAGGCCTCTACAAATCACCAGGGCTAGATGCAGGGCTCAGAGGGCAAGATCACTGAACACACCACTGCCTCCCAAAATGACTGATCCATCGAGTACGTACCGGTCCTGACCAAAATCCCACGCATGCCCGCATTCTGGGCGCCCCCAACGTCATCCCTGCAGTCCTGGAACAGAACAGGGGATCAGCTGGTTAGTCATCATAGACGGAATTTGTTAACAAGTTTTCTTCATTCAATTCAAATTCATTTACAAGCAGACTGCACATCACTAACCAGCCACTTACTTAAAAGCAGCTACAGCGAGTCAAATCCTGTAGCAGCCTGTTAAACAAACTGTCACAGAAATACTTTTACTACGTGCTTTTTGCCTGACCAAATAATGAGATCCCATCATGCAGGAATGGGTGACTTTAGAAAGGACCTCAGAGACATGGCAAAGCACTTCTTCTCAACAGACTGCATAGGATGGTTAGGGCTTCTCTAGTACCCACTGAAGTAAGAGAACTAACCCCATGGACTACACATTAAATCCTGCAAGTTTTGATGGTTCAATTTTCACCCCTTGTTTAATCACAGCACTTTGCAAAAGATCAGTTCACGGCACTTGGGAGGCACAACACGCAGCGGACATGAGCACTACGTTAACAGGCAGGTGACAAGGTACTTGGTCCACGCGTACATCACCGATCATGACGGCCTCCTCAGGGGCACAGCCAGCCTCGCGCAGAGCTTCCAGGAAGAAGGTTTTCTCTGGCTTTCCCACCACTATTGCTTTGGTATCCGTCGCATATTCCAGCCCGGTTACAAAAGGTCCGGGTCCCAGAGCCAAGCCATCTTTTTTCTTGAAATATCTGGCTTTATGTATAGCTATAAGAGGAGCACCATCCAAAATCAACCTAAAGAATGAAGAAGAAAGCACAAAAATTATATTAAAGAAACAATATTTACAGCTGAAGGCCTCAACTGGCTTTTAAGTTGATGACAAAACTCCCACTGACTTTCATGATGCCCCAAATTATAATGCAAGCTGGCATTCATTTGGATAGTTAAATAAAGTTCCGTCCTGTCTTTTCCCCAGCTAGCAAAACAAATCTCTCAAATAAAGAATTTATTATCCTGAGGATTTTAACAGGTAACTATTTTTAAATCCTGCCTATATCTCCAATGTCATTAGGTCCACCACTCTAAGCAGCCTCACTTTTCACCACGCCAAACATCCTAACATTAAAACCCATCTGATTTCTCCACGCAAATATTTTAAAATACACTGATCATAGGTAGTGGCTGTAGGTAGCAGTTTGATGGCCACAGACTTAATCTCCTCGCCTGGACTGAGAACACAGCCATGCTTTCGGGCTGCTACTGCCAGGAAATCTGCAGCCCAGCAGCTCTTGGGGCTGCTGGTATCACTGGTAATAGCCAAACAGCTATGTGTATCCATCAGTGATAAGTGTTCAGTGGAATCCCAGGTAGAAGGTGAATCATTTTACCTTAACTTTATATTTTAATGTTGGAGCAATTACAATGAAATATTACATGAAAAGCACAAAGATGTTAGGCACATTCATGTCCCACCAAATTCCCCAAGTGACAGCCCTATTATTACCGAGACTTTTAGAAACAAAATTGGATTTGGGCTCCTTGCTATTGGGAACCAAAAATTTCAAGTGGAAGACAGTTGTGTTGGTTTTGCGTGGCAAGGT